CATGTGGCCATTTTTTTGTAAGGCTGTGCCCCTATCCCCCCAAGCACCTTTTCGGTTTATGCTGTTCTTGTTTTTTTTTCTCCTCCTGGAAATTCTTTGTGAATAATGAATTCCAGGTTTTTGCAGGGGTGTTTCTGTGGCCTGTAAACAAAGTCTATGAAAAAAAAAATCAAGACGTCTTGCATACAGTGCTTTCACCCCCAAGATCTTACATGGAGCTCCTCCACCAGTCTTAGGAGCCTGGCAGCTTTTGAACATCAGTGCCATCTTATTCGCACGTAACCCAGTCAAAGCCCATGCTCTGATTCTGGGAGTTACAGCCCAAAAAGTAACTCTTCCAAGCTCTGAGGGAAGAGGGACTCCAGGCCACTTCAGATTCTTACACAATGTCTTCGCCAAAACATAACTCAACGGCGACAAAGCCCAACCTCAACCCAATTTTTGCAAGCACACACAAATCAAAAGGGGGGAAAATCAAGGGAGGACAGCAGCCCCACCTTGGAAGAAGCCATGGGGACGCCTTCAGAAATCCCCCAGCCCAGCCTGATCCTGGATGCCTTTTGCACAGGGATTTCCAAGCAAGCAGGTGGCTGGAGCGTCACCCTCTCCTCAGCATCCTGACCAGCTTGAGAAAACAAGCCTTAAAAAAAAAAAATAACACGTCAGCTGGCTTTATTATGGATCGCGCCAGTGGGAATAAATTAAAATAGCTTCATGCTGTCTCCCCTTGCCCCTGCCAATTCATTCTCACTGCCGTGAGCAAGGAAAAGCTGCCCGGAGGAAGTTACTTTGAGAGAAGGAATTTATTTATTTATTTATTTATTTATTTATTTATTTATTTATTTATTTATTTATTTATTTATTCCATTTATACCCCGCCTATCTGGTCATTGCGACCACTCTAGGTGGCTAGGAACTACGGCCCTTTGCTTTTTTGCACACAGTTGATAGGTAACTACTTGTAGAACCCCTGCGTTCTCTTCATTTCCCAGACAAAACTGGACGAGCGCAGCCCCTGCCTGTCCTTCACCTCATGGCTCTGTTTGCCCCCGGGGATGGAATGGAGCCAGGGGCTCACGGGGTTAAAATCCCTGGACTACTTGGCTTGCGACATCGTGTGCCACCCCCTCCGGCTTCACTGCTCCCTCTGAGCTGGGCTGTAACCTTCGCAATAGGTGGGACCGAATTCATTTTCCCAGGAACAGAATTGCCGTTGCAAATTATCCCTGTTGGAGTGAGAAGGATATGGGGGCCGTTTGATCCTGAGCGGGCAAGCGAGAGCCATTCGCTTGGGGAAAGAACGGCTCCCGAATTCTTGATATATAAACCAACTGCATGCTTTTCTTGGAGGGGGTGTCTTGTGGGGTTACTGCCTACGGGGACTGCCATGCTGAGTGAGGGACCAGTGATTCAGCAATGAGTGAAGAAACAGGCCCATAAACCCCAGAGCGACCGCACAGACGTCCCAAGGGGGCCGATGCCTTTTGGGACTGAAACTGTCGCCCTGTTCCTCCTCTGCTCGCCCACCCTGCCTCACCTTTCCCCAGCAAAGAGCAGACTCCCCAAATGTTTTTTTTTCTCTCTCTGCCATTTACACCCTGCGTGAGGTCTCTCCACCCGTCTCCAATGATGCATCCTAACTTTTGCTTCAAGTCAGAGCTTAATTCTCCTGTCAGGGGCCTCTTTGTCAGTTTTGGGGGTTTTTTTCGCAATGTAGCTTCCTCCAAATGGATTAAACTGTGAACCCCATCATTTGCAGTCAGTTCTCCCCAAAAGCCGGCTTCCTGGGGAGTATGGGAGTTGTAGTCTGACTCATCTGGAGGGTGCCAGTTAGTCACACCCATGCTTTACACAGGCTGAGCCTTACATTCTCATTCATCTGTTCGTTTGTTCATCCAGACTTATAAAGTCGAGAGAACCTTTAAGCATGTGCAGAGCCCTTTCTCACCTCTACTCACTGTGTTGCCAAAACCCGGCTCACACGCGTCTGGGATCCGGAGATCAGCATCCCAAGCTGGCAGACTGGCTTTCATTTTGGCCCTTCCTCGCTCTCGGTCTTACCTGTTGCTCTTTTTTTATTATTCTTTTTTGCCACCAACTACAGAGGTTTAGCAAAGTCCTTCTTGACACGGGGAGGAAACAGCCTTTGAAAGGGGCCGTGCTTTCCTCCGTCTTGGTGATCAATTGGGTCAAGGAAGCGAGACAGTGAGAAGAGCTGCAAAAATTCTCCTGTCTACAGGAAAAGAAAAAAAAGCAACAGAGCTTTCCAAAGCATGGAACCATAATTCCTGTTTTGTTTTGTTTTTTTAAAGCAACAGGAGAGAGCCGACAGGCAGGGGAGGGGGAGCAGGAAGCAAGCAAAAAATCCAAATACCTTCTGAGCTTCTGGAAGACTCCAGTCTGGTCAAAAATAGCAGAAGGTGAACGAGAGCCAGGAGAGACATAAACCTGCTTTGACAGCTCCACAGAACAGGGGAAGCCGCCTTTCACCAAAGTAATTAAAGGCTGCGCTGTTGTGTAACCGAAAAGCTGGTTCATAGGGGAGGCGGGTTCCCGAGACGTGTGGGTGATCTGCCTCCCTGTAGGAATCCATGCCATCCGGAGGAGAGCGCCCGTGGGCCACTTCCCTCCCTTCACCTGGGATGGTAGTGTGGGGTAGTGGTTAGAATGTGGGAGCGCCGCAGGGGAGATCCAGGTTCACCCCCACCAGCCACAGAATTCGCCCAGCAACTTTCTCACCCTCATTGATCTTTCAAGAATATGATAGCCATATCCTCCAGTTGGACCTCAGGGAAAAGAATCATAGAATAATTGAACTGGAAAGGGCATATAAGGCCATCGAGTCCAGCCCCCTAAGAAAAGTGGGGAATCAGAGTGACAAAGGATTAAAAGACGAACACAGAGGGGTCAAGTGGCCAGCCTGTCACGGGATGCCGCATAGAAACAATCTCTGGTCCCCATTTCCTACAAACATCTTCATATTTGTTTTGTGTAGAATTTTTGACAGGTGTGTTGGAGGCGAGCCAGCAGGTAACAAGTCACTTAGCTGCTCTGGGTCCTTTTAAGGAGAAAGGCAGGGTAAAAATATTTTCAATAAATAGATAAACATAATCAAGGTGCAAACAGAATCGGTGCATAAACATTCCCCTACATCTATATTTCACACATACGACAATGATGTCTGGCATAGATTGTGGGTGCAAACTATACCCCCATGGAAGAATGTGTGTAGGTATGAATAGGTAGATACGCTCATATAAGCACATCTGGCCACAGGCTTATTTTGCCTGCATCTGGCTGGCGGCATACGCAAGAACATAACTGACCTTTGGGCAGCTCAGGGGTTTCGGTCTATGGCTGAGGTTGGGGGGTTCGATCCCCCCCCCCACTGGGCCTGCTTGGCAGGGGCTAGACTCAGTGACCCATAGGGTCCCGTGCAACTCTGCAGTTCTATGGTGACGATGATGATGCCTGAGTAGTGTATGTGTATCTGGGGTGGGGGGATGATGGGACCTGGGACCCCAGGTTGCCGCCGCCTTCCTCGCCTTTTCCCTCCCTATGCAACGGAGCAGGCAATCCCCCCCCCCACTGGGCCTGCTTGGCAGGGGCTAGACTCAGTGACCCATAGGGTCCCGTGCAACTCTGCAGTTCTATGGTGACGATGATGATGCCTGAGTAGTGTATGTGTATCTGGGGTGGGGGGATGATGGGACCTGGGACCCCAGGTTGCCGCCGCCTTCCTCGCCTTTTCCCTCCCTATGCAACGGAGCAGGCAGCGCATCCGAACAGGGACATTCATGACAACTGGCCTGCCCCCCCCCGCAGGCACCACCTTGA